GGCTATGCTAAAATTATGAAGGACTTGATATCTTGGAAGTGCGACTTCCAGGACTTGTCAATTGTAGACTTACTCAAACTTGCAGTGTTGTAGTAACAAAACATGCTGCTCAAAAGTTGTCTGACTCCGAAAGTTTTACAATCTCATGAACCATTGGATGTTATGATTTTGCTAAAAAAATTGTGCGACTTGGGAGTCAATATTAACTTGATGACTTTGGCTATCTCTACAATAGTGAAGAGGCCTTCATGAATTCTTGATGATGTGCTTGTTCAGGTGAGAAAGTTTGAGTTTTCTGTTGACTTCGTCATTCTTGATTGTTAGGTTGATAAAGAGATACCCATAATTTTGGGAAGGCCATTCATGGCTATTGGGAAAACGTATATAGATTGCGAGACTAGAGAAAAAAAGTGAGAATGAACAATGAAAAAATCATCTTTAGTGTTAAACACTCTATGAGGAGACCAGTGAGTTCTCAGACTGTTCATTAGTGGAGGCAGTTGATGTGATTCTACAAGAGAAGGTTGAGACTCTGCATGCCAAACACCCATCCCGACCTTGCATAATGAATTTAAAAAATGTAGATGGTAAGGACTTGGCAGAGTAGGTGTTGGCTCTTGAAGGCCAAGGGTACTAGAAAAGGGAGACATAATTCGAATCTTTACACTCAAAGGAAAGAAAGACCATGTCATGACCCCAATTTTTCACCTTAGGATGTCGTGATGGCACCTAGTTTCTAAGACTAGGTAAGCCTAATATTCATTGATAGCTTAACAGAATTAACAACTATGATAATAAGATAATTCGATAAAACTCATAATAACTCCAGAACATCTGTAACAAAATTCCCAAAATAGGTGGAACTGAGACACAAGCTCTACAGAAGTACACTATAAATCCCTAGTACAACACTTTCTAAACAAAGAGTAAACAATAGTAAGAGTAAGGACATAAGGTGACTCTGAGGCCTGCGAGCGCCAAACAGGTATACCTTGAAGTCTTTGAAATGTATGGGAAAATCAACGATGCCTAGCCTGATCTCTAGTACCTGAATCTTCACAAAAATGTGCAAAAACGTAGTATGAGTACAGCTCAACGGTAACTAGTAAGTATCAAGCCTAACCTCGGTAGAGTAGTGACGAGGCCAGGTCAAGACACCTACTAGGATAAGAGAAGACTGAACAAGCCATGATATAGGCAAATAACGGAAGAGGAGGAAATAAATGACCATAAAGCAATTCAATAATATAAGATAACAACGGAATTTAACACAATAAAGGCAACAAAAAGGAGTGAACACATGATAAGAACAACAAGAAAACAATACGGACAAATACAAGTAAGGAAAATAAAAAGATAACAAAAATGTTCAACCAACAAGCCTCTTTAACATAGAATGCACAACAAGAATCACAACCGAGGTACCGCCTCGTATCCTCATTTTTCAATTTCAAAATTACAACCTTTCCTTATAACGCCGCGTGCGCCTTACATTAAGATATGTTTGAAAATATTTTTTCCGAAATAGCTACATGCACTTTAGCCCCCTTATGTCACCGTGTGGCTTCAAGCAATTCCCTTACTAGCAACACTCACATAAATCCCACCTTACAACATCGCATGCACATTAACCCTTACTTATCCTTATACCGCTGCATGCGCATCAATATCACAATAAAATAAAACAACTCGCACCACAAGTGCCCATATGCCACAACTTTCCAAAATCGACAATACTGAAGCTACCACAACATATAGCCCACGGCTCAACCACAATACGAACAAGAATCTTAATAATTACAAAATGAGGGAGAATGACTCAACAAGGAAATATATCTCAATAATCAACAACATCAAATAAGAATAACTCAACAAATAAGGAGGTAACATGACATTAAGAGAGATAACAAAGGCAATTAAGGCATATAAGAGCATGTTTGACAATAAAGGATAGAGCATGTGATAACAACATCAAATAAAGCATGTAAGAGCAATTTAATAATGGAAGGCTAACATGATATTTCAACTTCTAATTAAATGCATGAAAGAGTCTAAACTGGTCATAATACCACATATAAGCCCGTGTACACAATCGTCACCTCGTGTACAGGTCTTTCACTTAATCCAAATAACACAAATCAACCCAATTCCTAAGGGGTAGTTTCCCTACACAAAGTTAGGCAATATACTTACCTCAAACAAGCTAAATCAACCCAATAGTAAGCCTTTTTCGTGAAAATCCGATGTCTGTCCATAGAAAGAATTAACTACAGGCTGGCATGTCTTTGAGGTTCATTCAAGATCCGGATTCCCTCAGGGATTATTAATTACGTATAGAATATTTAACAAAGCAGACCAGCACTTTATATTCATTAATAGCCGTTACATGAGAATACATCAAATAGGAAGCTCAAATCTGGCAAAAATAACTTAATACCATCATTACAAACCATAGAAAACGATTCTAGATAATGAAGTTGTACTCTTTAAAGAAAATCAAATAGTCAACTCAAAAAGTCTACACTGGGCACGCACCTTGGAACCCGTCAGAACTTACAAAATCCAAATACCCATTCCGATACGAGTCCAACCATACAAAAATTATCCAATTCTGACCTAAAATCAACCTTCAAATCCTCAATTTATAGTTTACGAAAGATTTCACAAAATCCCCAATTTTTTCAACTCAAAACACTAATTAAATGATAAAAATAATGATAGAATCATGAATAATAAGAAAATCCGAGTAAAAAACACTTACCTCCATCCAATCCATGAAAATCCCCTCCAAAATCGCCCCAAATCGAGCGCTCTAACTCAAAATATGAAAAATAGAACGAACCCTCTATTCACCCCTATTTCTGCCCAGGTATTCCGCACATGTGGGACAACAACTCCTTTTGCAGCTTCGCATCTGCGGAAAAATCATCGCAGATGCGGCTTCTCATTAAGACCAGAAAAAATTGCTTATGCGGAGCACAACGTGCACCTACACTTCTGCTTTTGCAAACCTCGAACCTCTTCTGAAGAATCATGACCGCACCTACAGTCCTAAGCCATTTGGCCCAGCTCCGCTTTTGCGGAAGAAAACTGTATCTGCAGTTGTGCACATGCGTATGGACCTCTGCACTTGCGGCCCTAGCATCACTTAACCTTATTTCGCACATGCAGCCATTGGATGGGTTCTGCGGTGCCGCACCTGCGGCTATGCCCTCGCAGGTGCGATTGCACCAGAACTCAACTGTTATTCAGCAATAATCCTAAGTCCAAAATGAACCTAATTTCAATCTGAATCACACCCGAGGACCCTAGGACCCTGGCCAAGCATACAATCATGTCCCAAAGGACACAACGAACCTACTTGAGGCTTCAAATCACATCAAACAACATCAATCTATGAATTGCAACCCAATTCAACCCTATTTAATCAATGAACATTCAGCTTCTAAAACAAATGCCGAATCATATCAAACCAACTCCGAATGAGATAAAATTTTGCATGCAAGTCCCAAATGACACAACAGACCTATACCAACTACTGGAATCACAATTTGGACTCGATATCAATAAACCCTCGGTCAAACCTATCAACCTTCCAAACCTTCAACTTTCCAACTTTCGCAAAAGAGCACAAAATCAACATACGGACCGCCAAATCAATATCCGGACATACACCCCAGCACAAAATTACCACTTCAAGCTATCAGAACCATCAAAACTCCATTCTAGAGTTGTCTACATAAAAGCCAAACTTCGGTCAACTTTATCAACTTAAGCTTCCAACCTTGGGAATAAGTATCCCAATTCACTCCGAAACTCACCCGAAACCTAACCAACCACCCCAGCAAGTCACATAACCACAATTGAACATAGAGGAGGCAATAAATAGGGTAAATGGGCTAAAATACTCAAAATGACCGGTCGGGTCATTACATTCTCCCCCCTCTTAAAACAAACGTTCGTCCTCGAACGAGTATAAAGACGTACTTGAGGTGCTGAAAAAGTGAGGATAACGGCTACGCATATCATGCTCGGACTTCCAAGTCCCCTTCTTGACTGGTTTGACCCCTCCGTTGAACCTTCACTGAAGCAATGTTCTTTGACCTCAACTTTCGGACCTTCTTGTCCAAGATGGCCACCAGTTCCTCTACATAAGTCAAATCCTTGCCCAATTAGACTGAGCTGAAATTTAACACATGGGACGGATCACCATAATACATCCGTATCATGGAAAGATGGAACTCTGGGTGAACTGCCGATAAGTTGGGTGGCAATGCAATCTTGTAGACCACCTCCCCCACACTCTCAAGGATCTCAAAAGTACCAATATACCTGGGACTCAACTTTCCTTTCTTCCCGAACATCATCAAACCCTTCATGGGTGAAACCCGTAGCAAAACCCTATCTCCCACCATGAATGCTACATTGCAAACCTTCCGATCGGCATAACACTTATGTCTAGACTGTGCTGTACGAAGTCGATACTGAATTAACTTAACCTTCTCCAAGGCAGCGCGAACCAAATCAGTGCCAAACAACCTAGCCTCCCCCAGCTCAACCAACCAACTGGAGAACTACGCCGCCTCCCATATAAGGCCTCATAAGGAGTCGTTTGAATAATTTATTGGTAGCTGTTGTTGTAGGCAAACTTTACAAGTGGAAAGAACTAATCCCATGAACCCCCAAAATCCATAACACAGGCACATAGCATATCCTCTACGATCTAAATGGTGCGCTCGGACTGCCCATCCGTCTCGGCGTAAAAGTTTTTGCTCAAATCAACCTATGCGCCTAACTCACGTTATACGGCCCTCCAGAAGTGCAATCCGAACTGTGTGCCTCGATCGGAGATAATAGAAACTGGAACCCCATGAAGGCAAACAGTCTCACGGATATAGATCTGAGTTGGTCAGCCTATCCACAATCACCCATACTGCGTCAAATTTCTTTAATGTCCGTGGGACCCCAACAATGAAATCCATGGTAATATTCTCCCACTTTCACTCGAGAATCTCAAGTCTTTGAAGCAAACCGCCCAGCCTCTGATGCTCGTACTTCACCCGCTGATAATTCAAGCACTAAGCCACATACTCCATTATATCATTCTTCATTCTTCTTCACCAATAATGCTGCCTCAAATCCTAAAACATCTTAGCAGCACCCGGATGAATGGAGTACCGTGAACTGTGGGCCTTCTCAAGAATCAACTCACGTAACCCATCCACATTGGGCACAAATGTCCGGTCCTGCATCTGCAACACCCCATCAAATCCAATAGAAACCTCATTGGCATCGTTGTACTACACCGTGTCCTTAAGGACAAGCAAATAGGGTCGTCATATTGATGCTCTCTGATGCGCTTATACAAAGAAGACCGAGAAACCTCGCAAGCTAGAACTCGGCTGGGCTCCAAAATATCTAATCTCACAAAGTAATTGTCCAATGCTTGAACATCCAATGCCAATGGTCTTTCACTAACTGGAATATATGCAAGGCTACCCATACTCTACGCCTTCCTATTCAAGGCATCGGCCACCACATTGGCCTTCCCGGAATGATACAAAATAATGGTATCATAGTCTTTCAATAGCTCTAACAACCCCCACTGCCTAAAGTTCAAGTTCTTCTGCTTAAACAAGTGTTGTAGACTCCGATGACCTATGAATACCTCACAAGACATGCCGTTGAGATAATGCCTCCAAATCTTCAATGCGTGAACAATAGCTGCCAACGCTAGATTATGAACAGGGTAGTTCTTCTCATGGGGCTTCAACTGAATTGAAGCATAAGCAATCACCCTATCCTCATGCATCAAGACACACCAAATACCAATCCGCGAATCATCACAACAAATCATATATGAACTCGATACTGAAGGCAAAACTAGAAGTAGAGTTGTAGTCAAGATAGTCTTGAGCTTCTGAATGCGCTCCTCACACTCGTCAGACCACCTGAATGGAGCACCTTTTTGGGTCAATCTGGTCAAAGGTGCAGCAATAAATGAGAAACCCTCTACGAAATGATGAACTGGCAAGTGACTTTCCCTGTCTTGCTTAGCTTTTCTCAATTCCTCTGGTGAATAACACCTTCCAGAGCAGGTCAAGTCCCCCATTTCACCTGTTTCTTCAACTATCTCTTTTCCTTTGTATGTCATGATAGTCTTGTTATAATTCCAGGGAATAGCTTTTGTGTTTGTCACTAGGAGTTGGGCAACAGGTCGGATCATGATTGGGTCTATTATATTCTTCAAACCATTATTCGGAATGATCTTTTGAATGCCCCCGGGGATGTAAAGCTTTGGCCCATCCAATTGAACCTCAACCTTTTTTGTGCTTCCAGGAACATAGAGAATCATTATTTCAGAACGTGCCAAGTTCAAACTAGAACTCGCACCTTTCACCATCAACGGTGCCAATTGCGGCGGGTTCACTATCCCTTTTGGTTCTGGCCCTATGGTTCTAACAACCATCTCTGTCTTGCCAGACTGCTTATAATCCCAATCATCACAAAAAATCCCAATAAAATATGTATTATCATGAGTTGGGAGAGGATTGTTTGTGATATTAGGAGTATCCTCATTGTTTGTTACCACAATTGCCTTTGCTTCAATCAAATTTTCAATGGCTTTCTTTAATGTCCAACAGTTTTCAGTACTATGCCCTTGGGTGTTAGAGTGATACTCACATCTTGCATTTGAGTCAAAACCTTTTGAATTTGGATTCACATAACGCGGCATAATAGGTTCAATCAACTTCAACTGCATCAACTTTCGAAATAGGCTTGTATACGATTCTCCAATTGGGGTGAACTCTTTCTTTGGCTCCTGTTCTCTCACATATTCTTGTCGGGGACGAGGATTATATGGTGCCTGAAAATTCGGCCGGAGTTGATGGGAGCCTTGTGGAATCGGTGCCCGCCATTGTTGGTGATTGGGAGGCCTAGCATAAGCCTGAGCATTAAACATTGTGTACTGTTGCAGGGGAACTGAGTATCGGGGACCTTGAGGCGGATAATAATGTTGAGGAGAATTGGATAGTCCTTGTTGAAATTGCACGTAAGAAGGAGCTATTCCTCTTTGAACTCCCCCGAACCCAGATTCCATCATGGATCCTTCCTCCTTCTTTTTCCGATTTTCGAAATTGCCTGACCCACTTTGAATTGCTTGTGTGGTCGCCTTAAGGGCTGCCTGACTAACAATTTTGCCTAACTTCATGCCATTCTCAACTGTTTCACCAATCTTAATCACCTCAGCGAAAGGTTTACCAATGGCGGCCAACATGTAATGGAGGTAATCAGGATCCTGAGCTTGGAGAAAATAGTCAATCATTTCTGCCTCTTTCATTGGTGGTTTGACCCTAGCAGCCTGCTCTCTCCACTTGATTGCATATTCTCTGAAGCTTTCTGTTGGTTTCTTCTTTATGTTGACGAGAGAGGAGCGGTCTGGCACTATATCAATATTGTACTGAAACTGTTGGACAAAATCTTGAGCCATGTCATTCCAAACGTGCCAGTGAGAGATGTCTTGATCTATGAACCACTCTGAAGCAATTCCTGTCAAACTTTCCCCAAAATAAGCCATGAGCAATTCTTCTTTGCCTCCCGCTCCCCTTAATTGGTTACAATACCTCTTCAAATGGGCAACGAGATCACCATGCCCATTATACTTGTCAAACTTGGGGGTCTTGAAGCCGGGTGGCAAATGAACATGGGGAAACATGCATAGATCGTTAAACGAAACACTATTGTGTCCCCCCAAACCCTGTATGTTTCTCATGGTTTGTTCCAAGCTCTTCATTTTTATGGTCATTTCCTCTTGTTCCATATTTTTTTCGGGCTTAGCGATCTCAATTAGGAACACGTTATGAGGAGTATGCTTGTATGAATCTGGAACCTTTAAAGTTAGTTCTGGAGAGTAATGTTGGGCATCATGAGCATCCAGTTGTGGATCATTATCTGACTTTTGTGCAAGAGCCGGTTGAGGGACAGTGAAAGTATGGACACTGGGTATAATAGGTGGGTCATTTCTGAGGGGTGCGATTGGAGGACGTGGAATGGAGGTACTGGGAATAGTGGGAAGGTTAATGCTCGGACTGAATCCAAGTTGGTACAATGGGTTACTTGCTATGGAGATAGGCACTTGAGTGGCAACTGACACATTATGAAGATTATCTGAATGCCCTATGGGTAGTGAGGGCGGTGCTTGTCCATTCACCTAGGCTTGGTACATCTCTGCCAATTGTTGCTTCAACGCTCTTACTTCTTCAAGCAGTCCTGAACCTTGTTCAACCAATTGTCCATGGACATCATCATTATCTGACTTATTCTCACTGTTGTTTGCCATTCTACTTTTTCCTTTTGATCTCGTGTTGTAAGGGTGAGTCGCCAGTTTAAACCACAAACCAACCACCTCTGTTTTACTTTATCTTTTAAAATGACAAACAACAAACGTGTTAGAGTTAGGCATTTTGCAGATATTAATCACATATTATATGTCATGCACCTAATGCCATTTTCATTTCTAAAATGATCTTGGAAGGCTATATGCTTCATCCCGGCTTATTAATTTATTGGTTTATTTTCATCTTGAATTTCATGCTTTTTTTTGTTTTTTTTTAGATTAATTATGGTTATGATCGCATCCGATGAGGATTGCCTACGTATCATGACGCCGTATGAATCGGACCATTACGTAGTTCAGGGGAAAACAATAATTTTTTTTTAACAAAACGAAATAATACAATAACAGAAAGGACATTACATTGAAAATGACTTACCAGACTCTGACAAGACTAAAAGACAACGATTTTAAAGATTCAACAATGACTCAAACTAAAACATAACTACTACATGAAAAGTTCTAACAACTACGACTATATTTCAACTCCACAATCTTCTTACTTTCAAACACTGGAACATCTGCTCATGGTGGGGCTTGCCCTGGTTGACCCCCTAATGTACGGTACATCCTTTCTAACTCTGCTGCAAGATGACGGGCAAAAGTAGGTGCATGCTCCAAAAATTACTCATAATCCATCCCTTGGCAGTTCACATAACATTGAGCGGTATAAACAGCCAAATTATGGACTTACTCTTTGAAGTACTGGAAATTCTGATCTCGATCTTGTAACTGCTGCTGGCGAGCGATGGCTATCTCCCTTATATGGCCCTCACGATCTAAGGCTAACTCCAACTGAGCCCGAAGTCTATCCTGCTCGAGTCTTGCCTGAGCCATCTCCCTATAAAAATCTGCATGCTAGTATTCTCTATTATACCTTCTCATTTCTTCCAATTGTGCGTGGAGCTGAGCTTCTGAACGTACCCAATGGGCCTTCTCTCTCTCGAATTGAGCCCTCTCTTCTTCAAATTTTGTTACTTGGCGATCCTTACTTGATTCAGCCTTCTCATTTAGCTGTACGATCTTTTCCTTGGCTTTGTCCAATGCCTTTTCAGTCTTTGCCAAGAGGGAATCATAATCTTGCACCTTTTCCATCAGATTGGCAATGGTTCTCTGGTATTTCCAACTTCTCACTGGCACTTTAGAGGCTTTCTTCATCTGTTGAAGTTGAGCACGAAGGGCTTTATTTTTGCAGATCAGACTCTTCTTTTCCCCTTCGGCTTCTTGTTCTTGCAAGTCTTTCTCAAAATTGAGGTTTCTCAGCCTTTCTTCTAAGGCATGAATAGTTGTTTTGTATCCCTTTTCCCGTTCACCCCAGGCCAACCGTTCTTGGATTTTATCATCAAAGGCTTGAACATGCGTCCTTTTTGTGGGCCTTTTGAGCTCGGGCACATCATCCATGCGAGACCTCTTCCCAAACCATATAGCATAACCCGGATCTACCTTACCTCTCGCAGGATCTGGCACCTGAGTATCATCTTTCAAGTAGCGACAACCATTCCAAATTTGCTGGATTAAAGCTTCGGGGAGTGGGGCTTCAGGGTGTAGCTCAATCACTTGCACACTCAAATCTTCATCCTTAGGTACTACTTGGTACCTTCCTAGCTGTCTTCAAACTCTGTGTGGCGCATACGGCTGGATACTTCTCAAACCCAACAACATCAAATAATATTTTAGGGCCGACATGTGTATCACCGCTCTTACCGGGAGCCATCCCAAAGTCTACTCAATTTGACTTGCATTTAAAGATCTTAGGTGGGATATCCAGGCTTCCACCCCTTCTGGAGAGTTGTAATCTTTTACTCTTTCTTCGTAACTCTCAATGAAATTGTCCTTTTTTAGACCATAGCTCATGAACTTGGGGTGATGTCGGAGATGCTCAATCAACCACATTTGTAACAAAATATTGCACCCTTCGAAGAATTTTGCCCCAGACTTGCACAAAGTCAACGCCCGATAAATGTCTGATAGAGTGATCGGGGCAAGATGTGATGTTCTTTGGTAGTGAGGACCTGTACAACCCTGGCTATACGGGTATCAATTGTCCGCTCCTCATTTGGGAAGACCGTAATTCCCAGAAACGCCACTATGAAGGCGAAGCGATGATGAATCTGCCATGTGTCTTTGTTCTGCTTGTTGTTAAGGCCCTTTTCATGCATTTCAAACCCATTTGGCTACCCGAACCTAGAGTACAGGTAGTAGAAAGAACAACACCCTTCGACTATGTTGGTCTTTCTAATTTGCTTACTGATGTTAAGAAGATCAAAGTATCGGTGTACAGAAAGAGCCCTCGGGAATATGAGCTCCTAGTTTCTCAAATCCCTGCCAAACCCAGAATATCCAGCTATCTCTTCTAAAGTGGGAGTTAGCTCAAAACCGGAGAAGCGAAAGACATTGTGTACAGGGTCCCAAAAAGTCACTAGTGCCTCAATCAAATCGTCTCGTGGTTTAATTTTCATAATATCTGTGAGGGCTCCCAGGTGCTTGGTGACCCATTTCTGACCATCTTCTCCTAAATCATACCACCACATCTGAAGCTGAAGTGGAGCCTCGTCTACAACTGTGAACGGTGTGTTCTGGACAGTGCTCATTTTGTACCTGTGGGTGGTTAAGGTTAGGGTTGACACTAGTCTCAAGAGACAGAACCAATGCACTCCTTTTGCAAACAATCTTTTGTAAATAACTCAATTTTAAGAAAAATCAACGAAAAGGGGGCTATTTTTGCAATTATGACCGAAGAAAGGGTGGTTATTTTCGCAACTATGGCCCCTTCTTACTTTCAAGGATAGCTTTAGGGACGGGGGAAGGGCATTATGGTAAAAGTGATTCCCAATTGACAGACACGTCCGTTCTTGCGAGAACAACACTTCAACAATTTTGAAGATGTTCTAAGGCTATTCCGACAGGAACGATTTGGGATTAACCGAAGCTGGGTCTGCTTATTTATTTTTTGATTAAAAAAAAACACTAGACATATTTCTTTTTTTTTAAGTTATTTTATAAAAATGGGGCCGAACCCTATGAAAGTTGCCTACATATCTCACATCCGGTGAGAATCAGACCCGCGTAGTTCGTAAATATTTCAGGAATAGGATGACACTTTTTTTGAAAAATGCAGCCTTTTTTTGTGGGTAAATACTGAGATTTTCAAAAATCGGGTAAATTTTCTCCCTCATATTTTCTTCTTTCTGGTTTTTCCTCAATATTTTTATATATTTATTTTTATTTTAGAAACCGGTCAACATGCACAAACTAAATCAAACATAATGCACAAGTAGCACATAAGATGCATCAGGATGGTCTTGTAATTTCGAGTACACCTGTCCTAGACGGACCCAACCCCTGTGTTCAGTCCCCAAAGTCAAATGCACGTGATGCAAACAAACGTACCTACTAGGGATCCGGCATGAGACTATGTTATTCTAGGTTTAAACCTGGGGGTGTGTTCTAGACATGGCTTACCCAAGCGGACAACTCGAGCCGATGTGGGAGCAATGTCCGGGAGAACGAATGTCTACCCGGCCTAGTTACTGACCCAACCTCATTCTAATTGGTATGACTTCTAACAGAAAAGTAGGCCACGCGCACGTGTGCACCATAAATTCAGAAGACTCAGAAGGGAGGCGTAAGAAGACAATTTAATACAGTTCAAATAATATCAAAGCGGTAATTAGCACATCAGGTCCAAAGACACAGTAATAACATCAAATCAATAAAGCCAAGTATATATCACATTACAAGCTCGAATTCTGAACCGTGGACCAGAGATTCTGGGTTCTGTTCCCCAGCAGAGTCGCCAGAGTGTCACACCTCCTTTTTCCAGGGAGAATGGTGCCAAAGGAAAGAAAGGAAGTTTTTTCAATTAAAGTGATATTAATCGAAATTAGATTATTTATTCAATTTTCAGAGTCGCCACTTGGGATAATTATATGGTGTCCCAAGTCACCGGTTTACATTAAATCCCAAATCGAGGAAATTTGATTCTGTTTTAAAGTCCGCGAAAACCAGAAGACCGAGTAAGGAATTCTGTTAGTCAGGGAGAAGGTGTTAGGCATTCCCTGGTTACGTGATTTTAGCACGGTCACTTTTAATCATACCTGGCTTAGTTTATTTGTTTAATTACGTACTTTTAGAACCTACGTGCATTTTACCTCTTACCGCTTTTAATTACTTCATTATTTGTAATTATTGAATTATCTTGAAACGAATCACGCGTACGTGTATTCGTTTTGTTTGGTGTGTCATGAATCATGTCACGCATACGTATACACAATTAATAGCACTTTATTATTTTTAAGATTATTTTGTCAAAGTTGCGCGAACGCTAACTTTGCCTTTAATTTGGAAAATCATAACTATGTCATGCGAACGTGTACATAATTATCATAATTGATTGGTTAACACGCGCCTAAAGCATACTAGCGTATTCAGAGTATTCCATTTATTTTTTATATTTTATTACCATTATTATTTCTTTTACCTATTGGAACGAGTCTTGAATTAGTTCATCGCTCATCTCGTTCCTTATAATTTATTTTTATCTAGTTACACAAATGCACCCTTAACTTTCTACTTATGGGTTATAACCATGTCAAATAAACATATTGATGGTAGAAATAATATTTTAATCACATCTAAAGTTGTTTACTATTTGTAGGATTAATTTGAAATAATTATGTACGAAGATAATGAGCCATTGTATAACCTAGTAATTTAATATATACAAACGAGCATAGAAATAATATACATACGATATATAACACGAAAAAAAAAATCTTGTATGAAGGGCATTTTAAAAAAAATTAATCTAAAACTACAAATCCAACACATCGATTTTTGAGAACCAACCAAACAATAATGAATTTATAAACTGACTTTCAAGCATTATGGAAAATTTTTAAAACTTAACCGGAAGAAGTAAATATCCTTAAAAAATTTGTTTAACACTCTGGACACCAACTATTAGAATAGAAGGGACTAACTATTTTCAAGACAAAAGCTAAACTTTGAATTCTTAATCAAACACTTCATATGCTTTAAAGCTAATGTAAACATAAATCGACGTGATACCAACTATTATTATCTCATTTGAAAGACTAAAGAATCAATTTGTTGCAACTTGAAATTCCAATATACCCATTCAACTATAATGAAATTGAAACCCAGTAGCGATGAAAATGATTTCTTCCGTTAAAGACTCAGACTAACAAAATATTTTTAAAGCCTTAACTTTGAGAAAACTGAAATACTATTCTTGTTCGCTTTTCTAATCGATGATATCTCTTAAAATTACGATTTCTATGTGATATATAATATAACTATTATTTACACCTAAAACAACTTAAACAAAAAATACCTTCTGATTATTTTGTCTAATAGTCATTAAAATTATGCGATGACTAGCGACGACACAATAATTTTCGAATAGAAATTAACTCAATACAAGTTTTGCCTTAACTTAGATGATCACATGCTTCATATCAACAATGAATTTAACTACAATTATAACTTAAACATGAAATAAAATAAATAAGTAATGAAGCATTCAATTACTAAAACTTTTTAAATTACACTAAGAAAACATAGATCTCAGTGTTATTATATGGCTTTACTAAGAAGATTCGAGTGTTACCATTTTGCGAAAAATTCAGTCAGTAATCGACTTAATCTACTAATTATAAAACTTCTAGAACCCACGAACTCGAAACCACGAACGAAATCCCGAACTCCGTCTTCAGATTCAATAACTTAGCCAAACGTTTTCTTCTTATTCTTCGAAGAACAGTTTTTTTTTTATGTTGCTGGATTTTTCTCTCCAGATTGCTTTCCTCACCTCT